ATACGAACGCGCGCGGAGAGCTGCCGCGGCGAATGAAGATTTATGAATCTTGATTCGCTGATAAATTATTAACAGTGAGATTTTAGCAGAGAATCGAAGGAGAGACAATGCAAAAAGGGAAAACAAGCTATACGCTCGAGTCAACCAGCGACCACGTTGCTCGAGAAACAATGGCAGCTGTCCGAGAACACAAGTGGTGACCGAAATAAAGGAGCGAGCGAAGATTGCGAGAGAAAAAGAGAAAAATAGCAAGTGCGCATAGGATATAACGCATGGAAGACAATCTCGATTCGAGAGAGAGAGGAGTTAAGTGATTAACTAACACGGCTCGCTATGCCGTCTGTCTTGTAAGAGTAAATACCCACAAAAACCGACAAAAACTGCAAGTTACGCGATTGGAGGTACGGAAAATCGTACGCAATCGAGTGAGACTTGTTGTACTCGCTGCTTCTTATCACTTGCTCTTGTAGTCGTCCCTCCCGGAAAAAGACATGCATTGTTTTCGCCTGCCACATAATGGAGCAGCGAAAAAGGCCACGCTCGTGTTGTTAACGTTGACGTTTCGGAGTATTTCAGGTACTGGTGAACGTAAGCGCACACCAGTCCATTGTTGGGATTCTTTGCTTTCAGGCTCCGTGGCAAGTACACTGATACATACTATACGTATAGTACGGAATCGTGATTTCAACGAGCGGAACGATTAGACGGGAACAATCCTCCTCTTTCACAATTAGCTGCACCGACACCGTTGCTACGTACATGGGTATAGGCACTCGTCTCCCTTGTATTCTCGAACCGTTCATTTAGACTTTATTTCAACGTATCACACAGCAGTAAATACAATTTTTGCACTTGATTAATTTGCATGAACATTCTTTTCGAGAACGAGCCATACAAATGCATCAAGGCTATTGTAGGGATTAAGAAAAAAAAAAAAAAAATCCATAGATCTTTGTTCGACGGGTATCTTAAACCAATACTTTATCATCCCAGCAACAACTAACAATAAGCATTCAATCACACGCTATCGATATCACAAATTGTTATTTTACAACTTTCCTCTAGTGAGCCTACACCAACATATTCTTGCGTGTGCACTATTCCATTAAAATAAAGGCTGTAGGTGCTCCTAGCTTGATGGCGACGGAGCTCCTAAGGAGGGTGGCCAACATCGAGTCGATTATTCTCAAGCATAGAAGCAATTTGTTTTTCCTCATAGGCGATTTTAACGCACGGACATACGTAACAAAAAAACGCAAGGTTTAGAAGAGCTTGTGGTGAAGGAGAAAGAAAACAAGAGGTGAGTCAGCGGATCCTTGATGACAGTCATTTGCCTGAACGTATTAGGAAGTTCTATTTATTTTATGCTCTAGTGTTTATTTTTCCCCTCATTTTTCTTCACATGTATGCAACTTTGTCGACTGAGTCGAAGTTATTGTGCTAATTGTTAGCGTGCAAGCAAATGAAGCGATTGTGTCGTACACAATGTTCCCTTCGGTAGGTCTTAAAGACGATTTGGCGGTAGTGGGTAGAAGGAGACAGCAGCATCAAAGTTTGTCTGGCACGCACGAAATCTATACCAGCACTTGGTCTGCGCAGCTCCGTCAGAGCGCATTGTATGTTAATACGTAAATAAATAGTGACTCGTCGTCATCCCAAGGCATTATTGAGACTTGAGTAGAAGCGCGACCCACAAAGTTCCTCGACCAGGCATGACGCCCACCAAAAAATCGATACGGTGCTCGCTTAACGCTCTGGCTCATTGTTTTAAAGAAAAGTGGGCATAATGTTTATTCTGCATGGAAATCAAAATCGATTCTTGGGTACATATAGAAAGACCAAACATGTTATTTTGTACGGAAAAATTGTAAAAAAAGCTACGAGTTATACACGACTGAGACAAGCTATTATTATGTAACGGAGTGTGCATTGTGTTTGAAAGTTGACCCTCTATAGAGTTGTCAAGCGCGGTTCTAAATATAATTTCATAACCAAAACCTCCGACTAAGCGAGGATTCCTCGGGACATTCGTGTGACACCGCTTTTGAAAAGTGGATAAATAAAAGCGCTATTTGGAAGAGAGGCTCCGCAAGATACAGGGCCATTTGTTTCCCCGCGTTGACGAGAAAAGCCCAGCGCGTTGGAAGCGAGGTTGGAGGAGCACTGAGATAGAACTGGTTTCAAGTGTGTATATAATTGTACCCTGAGTGTCAAAGGCCCGTGCCAGTTGTCGGGTGTCAGTATTAGATTCTCGAACGACAGAGCAATCAAATCTCCGAGTGGGCCATAAATACCGAGATGCCCAGTCCTCTTTCCACTACATGGCCGCGTGTCGAGCTATGATCAAAATACTAGGGCGGAGAGGGAAAAAAAAAAAAAAAAAAAAAAAACACGATCCAAGTGGGCAGAATCGGAAGCAGAGCCAGCAGCTCACTAAGTATATTTACACGCGAGCGCGTCTAGCGGTAATATTTCACGGCCGAGCGGTTATTCGAATCACGCAGTGGCGGCGGCCGCATGATAAACTATCATCGAAAGTACATTCGGGCGGCCAATAACTCAGTTCTCCCGCGCGCGCCGAGTTTTCGCGGGGAGAGAACAAATGCTCCTTCGGCCGCTCGTGCATAATTTAGGAGTTGCTCTCTCCATACCTCCCCCGTTGTGTGGGCGTCGTGTAAAAACATTATCGTTTGTTTCACGATAAAACAAAGAAATATGCTTATACCTTGCACGGGCAAAGTAGTCCAAAAAGATGTGTATACAGTAAAGGGTCAACCATACAGCTTTTGCTAATTGAGATTCAGTGGGCCGCGTAATCGGTCCGAAATAGCTCGAATTCCAATCTAATATGGCTGGGGCCATTCGTCGCCGCGCCCGAAATCACCGAATATTTCACTCTCTCGCGTAGCTACCTACCAGGAGGGCGGCCGCCGGATGAGAAAAAAGAGGCGAGCTGCCAACCAGCCTGAAGAGAAGAAAAGGAGAAGAAAACGGCAGAGAGAGAGAGAGAGAGAATCCGCAATATATGTATACCCAGCTCTCTCTTTCTCTCCCCTGTTCCAGGCTCGCACGAGAGCGCGACAGGGTTGCGGAGCGCAGATTTATGCGGTCCGCCTCGCGCCGCTGATATCCGAGAACTCACGACCCGTTTCACTCGTAATGAAAGAAATAAATTCACTCCCAGCCTTTTCCTATACCCTCGTGCGCCCCTCCGAGATCCCCCCCTTCCTACGAGCTTTTGGAGGTTACAACGCGCACAACCAGCTTGACCAGGGGGTTATGGAGGATGTATAACGAATACGCGACTCTAGAACAACTCCTCATCTGAGCTTGCCTCTGCTCTGCACCTTTTCTTCGGCTGCATGCCTACATGCCCGCTCGTGTTATTCGACACACGCAAGGTAAATTAGACCCTCGTAAAAGAGCTCTTAATTGCTTTTCGCTTACATCTCGGGCTGCCAGTGGAGCAGCAGCAGCAGCAGTCAGACAGCCGGAGGCTGTTTCGGCCGTGTATGTGCAGTGTGCCCTCGTAAAACTCCTCGTGACTTGAGCCCAGCACATGATTTCCTTTGCTCTCCCTCGGTTCTTTTTTGGTTTTTTTCGAGATGGATGGTTATGGCCGTGCGGGCTATTTTTTTACTCGGTTGTATCGGTTTCGAGGACTGTAGGCCCTTTTTTCTGGATGCGGTGCGCCATTCATTCGAGGGCTACTTGACGTGTAATCCGAGTGGAATTTATTTTGGTAAACGAAAAAGATGTCTTTTGAAATTTGGCTGAAAAGTTTAGGTTAAAGGGGTGGAATGTTGATCAAACGGTGGTAGTTGCAAATTTGAGGTGCATGGGCAAGCAAGCTGGAGAAGAATCGCAATGTACGTCAGAAATACAGATTTGCTCTATTTATTGATTTGAAAACCCAATTTTTAATATTTAGTTGTACTCTTAAAATAATAACTATGATCATTGAAAAAAAATCTCTGATACGTTAAAGTGCCAAACTTCTCTTATGACTGTTATTATTGCTTATTTTTTATTTTGCTACAGTGAAATTATTCAATTTCTAATTACTGTCTCATTTTCTATATTTACGTGACCTATTTATTTGTGCTTCATTAATTTTCTTTCCTTTCAATTGAGACTAATTCATAGTTATACAAAAATGTAATTTGATGATGGCACACTTTGCTTTATTGTAGAAGAAGAGTCAACATTTTATTAATATGATGTAACTATGTACTATAATTATTATAAAAATTATACATAAATATCATACGTTATGACCGGAAAAAAATTTTTAAATTAAATATTTCTGTAAATACATGATGTAATAGTGCAACTTTTTAAAAGTAAAACAAAAGTTTTTCAATTAAAAGAGCTTCATTAAAGAAATACTAATTTATTAATTTTTCATTTATAAATTGAAAGTGTATTAATTACTACACTATATCTTGATGAAACTAAAAATAAAATAAATAATGATAAAATTGGATTCTTCATGATAATAAAAAAAAAACGTATTAATAATCTCGTTAGTCATTAGTGTTTTAAAATAAATTTCTCTTTATTTAAGGCCCTACGGAAATGTCATTAAAAATTGTAATTAAAAATGTAAGTGGTATCATTATAAAATACTTAGTTGGAGTTTTCTGAAAACACATAAGAGCTTATCAATGTAAAACAAATATTAAAACTGTAACTCTTGTTAATAAGCTTGTACAAGTGTACCATAAAATCCAATGCTAATTAATTTTAAAAAAAGTTGTCAATCAAATCCAATAAAAATATTAATTTTAAAAGTAGCGACAAAAAAAGAGTTTGTTCATTTTCTTATCAGCAGCTTTGTTTAAAGATAGATATGTTAACATGAACAATGAATAATTTGTCTGTAACTAAGCGAGTAAATTTGTTCATGGAAGTTTTTCAATTCGAAGAGAAAGGGAATGGTAATGGGTAGTGGTAATTGGTTGAGGTAAGCGTTTGAAAAAACAGTAAGATAACTTGAATAATTCTACAAACGTGTTTTTATTAAAGCGGTATGGAAACTCAACGATATTTACAAGTTGTATTTACAGTGCTCGTATATCCATGACAATTATACGTGTAATAATGAAATTATCTCGCAGAGATATAGACACGTGTGCGCTCATACACTCCTCCAGCGATCCTCGAAGTCTCGGACCATAGACTTGTACATATGATAATATATGAGATACTATTTCGTCGTTGGAAGATACGCACATAATATAATGTATATTGCATCGGAGCCTCGAAAGACTTGTTAACGCTCTTATCTTACATCGTGTGCGCTTCGTTATACGATACCGGATGGACGAAATACTCTTTCGATGGTGTCCGCATCCTATACTCTATTCCCGCCGAGTACACGCCATTACATGTGTTTTTGTTTTTTATTTTGCTTTTTTCCTAATTTCAACATCTTCCGCACTCCGATTCTCTCGAGAATCGCAAATAAATTAAACGACGCTGTTCATAAACTATAAATTACCCGTGCACACGCGAGCACACATGATTTCAATGCAACTTTAGACAAAAAAAAAAAAAAAAAAAAAGGGAAACGAAACGTACTCGCTTGACTCGCCCTAGCTTCGAGAGAACGATACAATATCACAGCTAAATGTCTCCGTCGAGGGACGATCGACCGCAAGAGGCGACTCTGCCGGCCTTTATACATTTTGCACGCTCCTCGCTCGAAACAGGAGAACAGTAAAAGTTCCAAAAAATAAAGAACTTCGTTCTAAAAAAAAAATTTTTTTTTAAAAGAAAAGAAACACAAAACGATCGTTTCGTCCTTTTCACCTCCTCCTCCTCACGCTCTTCCTTCACATGCATTGCACTCGAGCGTTATCGGAACATCGCAAGACAAAATACTTACAATCAATCGAATGTCACGCATTCTACTCGCGATAAAAGAAACAAAATTAAACCGTTATTAGGACGACATGCGTCCATGATTAACAATAGGTGATTCGTCGTGCCCCGAAAAAAAAAAAATAATAATAATAAACTCCAACACAGAGGCATACAAAATGAGGTAAAAGAAAATCGAAACGATATCGCAGTCACTTGTGTGTGTATTGTATTCTTCGCCACCTCAGTCTTCACTTAGCACTCAGTCCTCCTCCATTTAAACACTCGGGCACCACTATCCCAGCACTGATTTACGGGTTCACCGCGGCACCGATCCTCTGCCCGTAGAGGGCATACGGAGAGTAGTAGGGCCCCAGAGGGTTGAAGGCGCTGTACGGCGAAGCGGCCAACGAGGCTGGGAGCGGCGGGCCCGTCGGGGGCTTTCCGTAGGGATGGAACCTCGCGCTCAGCGGGCTGAGCGATGGCGCGGGGTAACTGCCCGTCGCAGCCGCCGCAGCGGCCCTGTGCAGCGCCGCTGTCGACATGAGCAGGGGGTGGGTCGCGTGCTGACCGGACATGAGGGCCGCTGTGGTTGCCGGATCCGTGGGCGAACTAGCGTTGGTGTGGGTACGCAGGTGTTGGAGCAGCTCCTCCCCAGTCGTGAAGCGCTTCCCGCAGAAGGAGTCCCCAGCCATCCAACTACAGACGTGCGGCCTGCCTCCGGAGGCAGCGGCAGCTGCAGCAGCGGCCGCCGCCGCCGCAGCCGAGGACGATGGGGAAGGCAGCGAGTAGCCAGCGAGCGACGGCGGGGGTGGCATCGGGCCCAGCCCGGACAGGCCCATGAGGTTACTGTACTTTTGGTGGTCGCACTGTGTGCAGCCGCTCGGGCAAGTCGTGGGCGCACTGGCGGCCGCGGCCGCGGCCATCATCTGCTGGAGTTGGCTGTTGTGCACGCTGTACTGGCAACCCGTGCAGTAAGGATCCTTGCAGACCGGGACGAGGGTCTCGCCGCCCGTGGACGTCTTGATGCGTGCGTAGCTCAGGTACGGGCTGCTGGTGGGCGTCGACGCACTCGTTACTCCGGGGTAGCCAAGCAGGGCGGCGGCCGCTGCGGCGTGGTGGTGCGAGAAGGCCGAGGCACCGGTGTAGGGGGGCCGGAAGGCAGCGGGGTCGAGTCCTGGCGGGCAGCAGAGGGGGTTGGCGCCGAAGGCACCGATGCCGGATTTGTAGAGGCCGCCAGTCGGATCCTTGTGGCTTGCGTGGCCGGAGAGGATCTCCATACCCGAGCGGATGATGGGGCTGGCCCCGCTGTTGTTTCTGGGCGACGCACTCGATTTGTCGCGGCTCTCAGCCGGGGTCTTTCGCTCCGCACTGCTGCTGGGACTGCTGCTGTTTCTTCCAGCTACCGACGGCTGCTGGCTGGGCGATGCCGATTTGCGGCCCTGAGGCGTGGATCGGCTCTTTTTACTGCTCGTATGGTTGTGGTTGCTGCTGCTGTTGTGGACGTTGTTGTTCGCGTCATCACTAGCACTATTGTTCGCACTACTATCATGTCCACTGACACTGTGTACACTGCTGGCTTTGGAGCCGGGCCTCGAGGAGGCCTCGTCTCCCGAGGAACGCTTGGTGGACACCACGTTCGTCTCATAAGGCTTGAACGCGAGGTTCGAGTTCGAGGATGACTTGCCATCGGATGGGCTGCTGCGCGTCCGCTCGAGTTTGGCTGCCGGCGGCGAGCGAGCGCTCACTCCCGAGGACGAGCCTTTGGATGGCTTGTCCAGTGACGAGAGCAGGGGCTTCGTCGGCGAGTCCGCACCGATCTGACTGCATGTCTGGGCAAGAAGGGCCAAAGGGCTCTTCTTAGCATCCAGCTGTAACGAGAAAAAAAATATCTCATTAGTTTTTTTGCAGATTTTTCTTTTAGTATGGGCATAGGAACCAATAACTTCAAAGTATCCATGAAAATTCTCAAATCGTTTACACTTTCAATGATTTTTTAGATTATTTAAGAGCTTCTACTGATTTTCAGTTAAGTTTTTAGTCCTTTATTTTTATTATGACTTGATAATTTTCTAGACAATTGGAAAAAAATGGTTGAATAACCGTTTAGTAAAGACTTTTTTCGTAAACTGACTTTGAATTCTCCTGGATAAGTGCGTTGGATTTTGAACTCAAAATCGTGTAAAAAATGAAAATTTCTTACTTTCTTTTGTTTTATTAAAATTATAACCGGGACTTGTTTTGCAATTAGGAATCAACGCATTGTTTCTCGACACAAACAATATAAAAAAGGGGTACAATATTATGTGCGAAAAAAATAAAATTCCTACCTGTGTCGGTGGAACCGGAGACAGGTAGTCTGGTTGAAGGTACTGATTGTGTCCTGTGGTCAACATACTGCCGTCCTCGAGCACAACCATTTGGTTATATTCACACACAAAATTAGTATTTCACACAGAAGCACGGTAAAAAAATCCGTAGTCTGATTGCTCTAATCACTTGTTTTAGGTTTCTAAAAAAACAGTAAAACTGAATAAAATTCCAAGCGAGACGCCCTGACGGAGCAGGATCGCTCGCAGTCTGGATCGTGGCTCGCGACAATCGCGATTTCTCCTCTTGGGGTAAGTACAGTGGTCAACACGCAAGAGGATAAGTACGAGGCACAAATCGATGCGACGGGCAACACGAAGTGAGTGCGAAACTTCTGACGCACACCGTGCGCTACGTGTCTGGCGATGGGTTGAACAGCGACTGTCTGACGTGAGTACGGGCTCTCGACTGTACACCACCACGAAATCAAGCTGAGCAGACAGCAGCGCCACCTAAGCCCGACATCCCCTCCCTACCATGTACACCCATTTAACCTGTCGTCGCAGTTCATCCCTACCACTCTCTGAAGCATTCGTACAAGAGAGCAAAGCCAGAGTAGAGGGGATGAAAAAGGAGGAGAAGGGAGACGGACGGAGGAGTGGTATAGCGGCGGTGACTGCGGCGGTGGTTGTACCCACGAAGTGGTGGGGAGGCATTCTAATTCAACACGCCACCCATGATGTTGGCTCGACGATGACAGCTCCCATCCCGGCTTTGATATTTCACCGCTTTTACGGCCGCCTTCCCTTCCCACCCTTCTCCTACCGAGCATCCGCTCACATCCCTCTGCCAGTCTGCTGCACCTTCTCCTCCACCTCTTCTTTCTTCTTCTTCTTCTTCCTTCCTACTTCGCGCACGGCTCTTCTGCCGCTGCCGAGCACGTCCTTCCACGGGAACGTCGGGAACCTGATATTTCGTACATCCGTGAAACCTGTCTGTCTTCTCTCTTTCTGTGACGTGCCGGCAACATAGTTGGTATACGGAGCCCCTGTGGCCTTTAATAAGCAGCTTTCAAAATAGAAATGTAATGGGCCGAGGCGACGTCGGCAGCAACACGAGAGGGAGAAAAGGAGAAGGCGATGCCCATCGTTCTCCACTCTTATAATACGCGTGAGTGTGTGTGCGTGTCTCTGTTGACGTACCATACAACGCGGGCATGCCACCACTACCCCTCCCCCATCGCTGGCGAGTGATTGATTGCCCGCTGGGCCAACTTACCGACTGCCACGACTTTACGAATGACAGCCACTTAAACGGCCTGTGTGTTTGCCTACAATTTCACCAAAAGCGTTTTAATTATCGGCACATATAAACACCCACCCACACACAGAGGATGCAAGAGCAAAGTGGGTGTATGAGATTGAAGCTCTCAACGCTTATTGCTGCAATGTTTTACGCCAATGTGCACGCGTTACAGAGATTGAGGGTGAGAACTTTGGGGAATATTGGATAATGATTCTTTATAATGCTTCGTTTTTTTTTTGTCTGATGAACGAATACGACAGTCCACTCTCGGGAAGTTGGCGAGTTGCAAACAAATCCGGACAGCATCCGGATAGTCGTTCAATAAGAAAAGCTGATACCAGATGAGGTTTAGTTATGAAATTATGCCACAATCGACTATCGGTTCGTTTGCGGTACAAATGTACAAGACTTGCAAAAACACACGAGCCAGACAAGAAAAAATCAAGGGAGCAGACTATGCGTGAGCCAACGCACAAGGGGGACAAGGGGAAAAAAAGAAATTAATAGATCGTCCGTAATTTGATGTCGTTGCCGCGGCAGCAGCAAGTACCCACAGCCCACTTAAACTTATTACACGTACGTGTGTACACCCTCGGAAAGAAGACGTTGGAGCGCGCGTTTCTCGGTATCGCTAATTCATTCTTGGAGAGAACGTCGGTCCAAAAGAGCAAAGAAACTATTATGTACACGCCATACGCGAGGCGAACGAGCGCCCGGAGCCTCTCATATCGCTCATCCAGGGGAGAGAGCATCAATTAAACGAAGAAAAATGGCTTATTCCCTTTTTTTTTGTCCTTCCTCCCCTTCTCTATCTCCCTGCTCCTCTTCGAGAGCGCGTTCTCGATCGGCCAGCCAATTATCGGGCCCGCGGCGATAAGTGCGCGCCGGTGGAGTCGGCACGTCACTCCTTGGTTGTGTTTCTCCTCCTCCTTCTGCCGGCGGCGTTCCTTCTCGATCGGCGGTAGATCTTCAAACGATTCCGAGGCGCATGCACTTTGAGTGTCGGACCAGTCAAGGAGGCGAGAAAGGAGGAGAACTCTGCAGTGCAGAAGAGAACAGGGAAAAAGAAAGAGACAGAGGATGAGAGGGTCGTCGTCGCCCGAGGGACCTTTTCTCGATCGCTACCGGGCTTTTCGATACAGCCGCAAGATTAGCGGCCGCCGAGCGAGGATCCGCCGATCAGCGCAGAGCCTCTTAATTCCCCTTTTCGTTCCTTCCTCCTCCTCTTCTCGTTGCTCCTTTTCTCCTTTCTTTTTCGTGTCTGCAGCGCGCCGCCTTTTTTATCCTCACCATTTGCTTGTCCTTCTTCTCCTCCTCCTCCTCCTCCTCCTCGCTTTTTATCTCTCGCTGGTCTGAGCTGACGCGAGAAATTCTCGGCGTATCTCTTGGACTGCATAAAAGGCCTTGCGACGAAAGAGTAGGGAAAGAGAGAGAGCACTGCGGCAGAGATAAGCCCTGGCGATACATCTACTCTCATGTCTGCTGCTGCTGCGGCTGCCGAGTGCATAATTCATTCCTCAGCGATTTACAAAATCGAAAGAGAGAGAGAGAGAGGAGAGATTTGGCGAAAAAGGCACGTGTGCGCGCCTACGTACACAGTGCTTTTAATTTTTCAAACTGGTTTATTCTATATAAAAGCTTCGGGGCAATGTATGTTTTTCAAAAAAAAAAGTTTAATTAGAGGATTTTGCATTATGAGAGTTAACGCATACAAAAGCTTTAGCATCAGGGTTTGGATGTTAGCAGGCTTGCATAAATATTATAGAATAGTAAAATTTACAGATTTTGAAAGCTTTCATTTTTGAGCTCAGTAATTTCTCGAACTTTCATCATAGGGCCTATACGATTGTAAGACACTTCTGTGGGGTCAAGGGATGAGAAGCCCACATTTTGGGGCTTACAGAGCTTAAGCTTCTAAAAATTAGAGTAAAAAATATCTATAACTAATGATTTTTACTCAAAGGGTTAACAGATTCACATCATAAAGGCTGTATAGAGCATTATGGAGTTTAGAAGCTTAAATAACATCCTCTGCGTGTTATGTGAGCTTGCTTTTTCAACTTAACATCTAAGAATCTCACATGATGTAAAGAATTTGTGTTCTTTATTTTATACATTAATAAGTTTGCATTGTAGGACAATACGTTCGAAAGCTTGTCTTACGGGGTCAGTGTTTAAAAGGCTAACGTTATGAGGGTAATAAAATTTTAATTACATATGTTATAAAAGTTAATAACTGCTATAAATATTGAAAGCTTGTTCCAAGCAGAAATTGTTTTCTCAAAAGAATGTAAACCCTTAAACTGTGAAAGTATTGTAAAAAGTTTGAGTACAAGTACAGACAAGCTTACGCTTATAGGACTGCGAATTTAGAAAGCTTAAGGTATTAATGACGCAGTTTCATCTCGAACATTTTTGTCGAAGTGGAAGCAAAAAAATTGTACACCTCTTCTTTGCCCTCTCCAATCGCTCAAGCAACTCGTGTTACGCACGCGTGCACACACTCAGTCGCGCATCGGCTTTGGACGCTGGATTCCCGGGCTCTCATCTCTTCATCTTCCGTGCCTCATCTTCCGAGTTTCCGTTCTGCCACCCGCAAGAAATCCTCCTGCTGGCGCGCAAAGCCCCAGCTCCGTCAAAGGCCGTGTTATTTGAATCGTTCCGTCATTCTGGCTGTCAAAGTCAGCGGCAGCAGCTCTCGCGTGCGCGCTCGACTGACATGGGAGAAGAAGGCAAGCAAGAGTAAACATAAGAGAGAGTCTGAGCTCAAGAAGAAAAATAGAAGGTACGGAAAGAGGAGGAGGTGGAAGCGAAAAAGATGCCCGTGTGTACGTGAGCGGCGGTCGGATGAACGGCGCCGCTAACGACCTAACACTACCTACCCTCGTATATATATACACAGGCAATCGTCGTCGTCGTCGTCTCGACGCTGACGGATGAGTTTACAGCTAATGTAACCAGGAGGTTCCTTTGATGCTTGCCGCTCGCAAACGCAGTCTCTTTCTCTCCCCCTTTTGGATCTTCTTCATTTCTCCTCGCTATCTTGGCCCGTCGACTTTCTTTCCCTTTTGGCTCCCCTTAAATCTGCGCTCCATTGCCTGCTCCACTTCGGATTACAGTCTTTACGCGAATCCGCATCGTCAGCACTTGTTTAACGGGAGCGGAAGTTCAAATGGTTGGGCGAATGGTTAAAATTTTTTCACGTAATGGACTCAACCGCGATTTCTCTGTTTTTTTAATCACGTTGAATTTAATTGTTACTTGGAAATACTACAAAAGGATGTACAGTTTGAAGCCTTTCAGAAAAAAAATAGTAATGCAGACCACCTGGTAAATAATACATTTTTTCTTAAAAAACAACAGTCTGCAAGCAAAGTTATCGCAATCATGTAATAAATATATGAAAGAAAAGGAGACGTTTGAAATAATTTTTGCAATTGCCAACGAGCCCGAGTTTCAGGAAAGAACGAATTAAGACACCAGAAATAACAATGCACTGGATCTCCTTTTGTATTTGGAACACGACACACTTGGCTTTGCCGCGCAAACTCAAAATAAATACGCTCATTGAGCACAATCAGCTTGCTACTTCTTGATTCAGCACTAAAGCTTTTTTCACGGGCATTATGGTCGTGGAAAGTAAAAAAGACCCTAGGCCGCTGAGTACACAAAGTCGACAAAGCCGATGGGCAAAAGCCTCTTTTCTCCTCGTGGGTATAAGTTTGCGTGTCTCAGCCTTTTTTTGCTCTATGCCTACGTCGTCGCTTGGTTTCCTTTCGCACTCCGTCGGGGCGACTCGAAAAGAGAGAAAAACTCGATGCAATTTGATTGTTCCCCACCTTTGCATATGTGCTCTTTCTTCCTGGCGTCATTGAATTTTAGGCTGCGACGGCGACGTTATCAGGATGCGAAAATAACGAGTGGCTTAGTGTAGCCTCGTGAGGAGAAAGAGCACGGGAAGAGGAAGGGAAAAAAAGAGGCCTAAAGTCTGAGCTTCTTGTTGGTTGTTTTCAAAGGAAGGCGGCGCGCGCGAAAAGTATGGGAAGGAGGGGGAAGAACGACGCCCATGTACGGTCCGGTGGCTGATTTATTTCGACACGACTTGTTTTGTAACCGAGGAACATGCTGTCGAAAAAATTACGGC